TCTTATCAGACGTCAACTGAAATACTTAATTTATTCAGATATGAAGCAATGGCTTCAACAGATTTTAAATCGTTTGTTCTTTTAAGAACTTCCATTATTTATTTTGATTTCATCTTTTGTAACAAATTTGCTCGCCACAAACTCATGGCCTCCGCTAGCGTCTCATCGTTACTTGCATTTTTGTCTTATTCTTTTCTTCTTGAGGCAAAACAATTAAAGACAAATTGCAACTGAGACAGATAATTCGATCACCATATGAAGTTTTCTACTTTTCTCTCAGTAGCTTGAAATTTTTTATAATTCTTTTGTATAAAGTTAACCGTTCCTGATTTCCGCTGTATTTTGAAATCTTCACTTGATTTTGTCGAGTCTTTGACGTTGCTAATTTATTTGCCATTGTAGTCTATAATTAATATATACCAATTTGCAAGTATTGGTATTTTCAATTAATTTTTATTCCCAAACCATTTCCATAATACTTTTTGGCTAGATTTTTTTCCGATTTCGTTTCGATGATTCATTGAAAATTTTAAAAAGTCAACAACCCAAGTTCCAAAACGTTTTCTTATATTTTCGTTCTTATAAGACGGCCAATGATTTTGGTTCAATTTTTAACTTATATCAAATGTTTTGAATTCTTTTTTCTTCAATTGTTGGCAAACAGGAATTGTCATTTATCCTGCAATATTTTCTCTCATTTTCTTTGTTCGATCAGATTCAACATAATTTTCTCATGTTTATTTTCTTCCTGTTTAAAACTCGAGACCTTTCCTTTTTGAGTTTGTTTTTGTTTTATTTTTCGAACGACCAAACAGCAAGAGAAAGAACACAACATCTGAAAGAATGCGCTGATTCTCCAAACGTTTCTTTAGTAACGGTTCCCATATTTTTATACTAGGCCTTCTTTCAGATGTTCGATTCTCCAACACTCTTCTCTGTGTAGTTTTAATTCATTACACAGGTTGTGGTGACTACTCTTCATCTATACATGATCAGCCATGCCTGATCTCATTGCCTACTCTCTTACCAAGAGTAAAACACTTGTAGGATATCAACCTATTAATGCCCATCCAAAAATCCAGTATTAATTATTGGTTTGTAAAAAGACCGGTATCTATCATATGGTATTGTTTTGCTTTGTTTATTTTTTTAATTTTTTATATTATTTCCACTCAGACTATTGTCCTAATCTTTGTTGTTATAATCACATTTCCAAACATTACATTTCTCTGTATTTCTTTAGTAACGGTTCCCATATTTATAGGCCTTTTTTTCAGATGTTCGATTCTCTAACGCTCTTCTCTGTGTAATTTTACTTCATTACACAGGGTATGGTGACTACTCTTCCTCTATACATGATCAGCCATGCCTGATTTCATCGCTTCTCTAATAATTACGGCTTTTTGATGTTCATGTTTTACGGGTCAGCTGTTTTCAATTTTGTATTGGATGGAATGCACAGTTATTGGTAATGTTCTTCTCTGTATTAGGCTTGAAAAAATTATAGGTTTAAAATAACCAGTTGGGAAAATTACGGGTTTGTAAAAAACCGATGATAATTGTAGATGTGTAGCTATAATCCATTAGTACCCAGCATTCCAAAAAGGGAACACAAGGCATCAATGAATCCTCATCCTCTCTCTCTCTCTCTCTCTCTCACACACACACACACACACACACACACACACACACACACTTTGGTTCTTTTTCTCTTCTTATTTCTATTCCCTTTCCTCCTAGTCGCCTTTCTTTTCTTTTGTTGACTTATAGACATATCATGTTGTAATACAAGTTCTCGTACGATCAGTGAAGTTAAGCAACGTCGAGCCTGGTAATCAGGTGATGTGAGTTTGGATGTGCGAGTAATGTAATGGACAACGGCTCGGATTTTGAAAGCGAAGAGCCGGGTTCCAATTCCGGTTGGGTTCGTTATATTCACTTACGCACAAATACCCTTGGGAAAGGTATGAATCCACCTCTTCTCCACCCCCATCTATGGGTTAATTAGTAGTATGCGTATCAGTAAATCATTATTATCTACCCACCCCCGCCAAATTCTTACAATCTAAAAGTATTTTCCGGTTTTAAAATAACCTGCAACAGGGTTGATAAGCAGTAACAAACAAATCAGTCAATCAAACATTTGTTGCATTTGTCTCTCCTCTTCTAAATCAAAATATTTCCCCCTTCTCGCTCTCTCTCTAATTTTTTTCAGTCTCCTTTCTGTCGTTACTTCTATCTTTCTTTCTCTTTCTCACTCTCTCTCCAAATTTCTTTGCAACCTGCTTTATATCGTTCCCTCACTCTTTCTCTCTTTTTAAATTTCTTTGCAGCCTCCTTTCTGTCGTTTCCCCCCTCTCTCACTCACTCTATCTATCTATCTATCTATCTATCTATCTATCTATCTATCTATCTATCTCTCTCTCTCTAAATTTCTTTGCAGCCTCCTTTCTGTCGTTTCCCCCCTCTCTCCCCTCTCCTCTCTAAATTTCTTTGCAGCCTCCCTTTCTGTCGTTTCCTCCTCCCTCTCTCTCTCTCTCTCTCTAAATTTCTTTGCAGCCTCCTTTCTGTCGTTTCCTCTCTCTCTCCCTCTATCTCTCTCTCTCTAAATTTCTTTGCAGTCTCCTTTCTTCCCCCCTCTCTCTCTCTCTCTCTCTCTCTCTCTAAATTTATTTTTGCAGCCTCCTTTCTCTCGTTTCTCTCTCTTTCTATCCCTCTTTAAATTTCTTTGCAGCCTCCTTTGTTGTATCTCTCTCTCTCTCTCTCTCTCTCTCTCTCTCTCTTTTCTCTCTCTCTCTCTCTTCTTCTTCTATCTTTTTTTCCCTCCTATCTTATTTTTTCCCGCTCCTTCCCATTTAAGGGTGGCAAGTTACGATCAGTGATAATTAATATTTAATGTCCTGATGCTTAGTCACTTAAACTAATTAAAGAAGGTCGTTAGATGAAAGAAATTCAATTTAGATTCAACCTGATAAAACATTTAACTCACTTTCTTTATTCACTTATTGCAAATCTTCTTTTCTTATTGAAAGCAAACGTAACACAAATATTCACATTTACATTACGATTCTCGTCTGCAATGAATGTTTTATTCAAAGCCGATGGTTTCGGATTTTCTTAACGCATATCTTTTATTCGACGTGTTAAACAATAAACGAAAGAGATACAACCCCTTGACAACTGATTTCATTTTCATTGAAATCTGTAACATTTAAATAAAAAAAATCTCTCGAACAAATTGATATTTCTTTGCATCTAGCAGGTTAAATAAAAACATTTTATTTCTCCTTTTGTGTACCAAATTCTTTATCCGCAACTTTCTGTCTTTTGTTGCATTTGCTTAGACATTACCATTACTTTTTATCCTTGCTCTAGCATCCATCTATCCACCCGATCATATGTTTAAGTTACTCGTTCTCTCCCTCTGCTTCGCTTGCCTTCAGTGTGCCCTGTGAGTGTTAAATTCTCCAAGCCCTCTTTCCTCATTAGGCACCCAAAAATTCCATCTGTCTCTTTCTGATTGCAAGAATAAGTTTCTTTGAAGTCCCTATTTCTTTGAAACTTCCCGGTTACTCATAAACTCTGTCTTTGTTATCCTTAGTATTCGTCGATAAACCTACGTCTTCAACCGTCTTCTTCATATGCGAGGAAATAATCCAAAATTCGTTGTTATGTCATCTTAGGAGTTTACTACTCTTTTCTTTGTTTCTAATGATATTTTCTTATAGCTTAATACATTGTTTAGATTCTGGAAGATATATTTCGCTATTTCTGCGCACTTTGTGCCATTTTTCGTCATCTGTTACTGCACTACCTAAATAATTTCTGTATTTATTTGATTATGACGTCCCCAAGATGTACTTCACTGTCTCTTTTGCTAACGACCATGTCTTCTTACAGTTGATAATTACAAGTTTCTTTTTACTTTCTTTTACTGCCTTATCTAAGATTCCTTTCATTTTTCCCTCTGCTTCTGCTTTCAAAACAGCATTTTTTGCATATCTTACGTTAAGATTGTCTTCTGATAATAAATCCTGGTTAGCCATTTTGTTCTCTTCAGTTTTTCATTTGAGAAAATAAATCCGCGTCTCACTCCTGCTTTCTATTTTTGTCCATTCAGTAGATGTATTCTCTGACTTTATGCAGGCAATTTGTTCCCAATAGTGATTATATACTTTAACTGACTTTTGTGCATGTTTTTTTTCTTTTTAATCACTTCACCCCAGGTAATTGCAATTAAAACACAATAGTTACCGCAAGTTAACGACACTGAGACTAATGAGTAGAAAGGACAATAAAAGGACATATATCAAGATAAAAGATGGCGGTTGACGTTGCCTTTAAACTTTTGAAGATTGTAGATAGCATAGAGGAGAGTTCCACTGGCGAGAATTGCAAGAAAAGTAATTATCAGAATACAACCCTGTCAGACATTCACTGCTAAAAATAGCAGGGATTGATATATTATATAACAATTGAGCGGTTTTCCAACGAAATTTTCCTGTTCCTTAATATTTTGTCTCGTTTCTTGAAGGCATCATTCCCTGTTACAACGCGTCTTCGCTTACTCAACCAAAAAAGAAAAAAAAATGAACTTTTTGCAGTTATATTTTCAGAATTACCATCTAGAGATGCAACAAAGTTTTCAAAATTAAGTAGCCAGATTTTGAATGAATTTAATTAAACTTCTTCAATTTGATATGTTTTTTACTGAAATTGTTCCAGTCAATTTCATTATATTCACTTACGTTGGGTTAGATAAAAATCCAACTCTTCTCCCCGACCCTGCTGTAGGTAAATATCAGGTCAGACTGGCTTCTATAGCCTTGGGTGGCAACCGGTCTAGGAGAAGGAAAACTCTGAATTTAAAACTATGTAACCTTAGTGAAGCATATACTATTCGGCTAAGAAAATGATCATTCGTATTGAATCGATGATCGTGACTACGGTCAATTCCTCGTTTTTTTAAATATGTATTATTAAAAAGAATAGACATTTTATGTATATTACATTTATTGATCATTTTTTCGAATATTCTAATAACTTTTTGTTAAACTGCAAAAAAGGAAGTATTAGAATAGAAACTATGGTTACTAGTTGCTGCATTCATGCAGCCGGGTTACCAAAGAGGAAATCTCATTGCATGGAAAAAAAATAAGTACATTTTTGTTTATCGTGATGTTATGGTAGGATCCACCTAATTTGCATAGTGGAGTACCGACCATATAAATATGGTTGGTACCGGGAAGAGAGGGAGGAATCAAGAGATTCAACCAGAGACTCTGCCCAACTGCGACTCAGTCAACACATTCTCCAGGAACGGTCTTACTAGGAATATACAAAAGACTATATGTAAATATTGTGTACACTTTCTTGTTTCAATACATTTTGTTCTAAGTACCTTTTGTGTTGCATTATTATTCCATGCATTAGTCAAGTTTCAACACGTGATGAAAGAAATGTTTTCATTATCTGTCTATATTTCTGAGATGAGGTATTATGTACACTATTTACATTATTCGATCTATTGTGCTCATCTTTGTCGCCATATTTATCACAACGTTTCGGCGGCCGTTGTAAGCTCCGACCTTTTTCAGGTGCTTGGAATGTTGAACTGAACCTTTTATTTCGCTCACTGGGGTAGACTGTTCTAGTTCCACAAGGACACATGGCACAGTGGATAAAGGCGTTAGTTAGATCCAGTGACAGGATCCAAAGAGTGTGAATTCAATACCCGGTTAAGGTGGTAGAGAATTTAGAACGGGGAATTAACAGGAGATAACTGATAGCTGACATCCATTAGACATGGCACGTGGAACAAGAACAGTCTATTCCCGCGAGCGAAATATAGGGTTCAGTTCGACATTCCAAACACCTGAAGAAGGCTGGAGTGTACAATGGCCGAAATGTTGTGATAAATATGGCAACAAAGACGAGGATGATAGTCCGAATAATGTAAAGAAAAATTTTTCCTTATTCTGTAGACTTTCTGTATTTAATATCTTTATATTTTCTTCGACTTGTTTAAGAGTGTCTGGTATTTGAAGTCGCCACTGAATGCAGCACAGAGCCAAGAAAGATCGATAACAGTATTGGTCAAAATTAGTTTTATTAAAACAGTAAGAAAAGTGAAGAAAATGTTTTGAAAAATCTATAAAATAACGGAAATATTTCGTTTTATAAGGTCAGATATAAAGAAAGACTAAAGGGCTCAATGTTTGTGATTATAACCCACTAGCAGCATGGTCCGGCGTTGCCCGTGCTTGATTCAAAAATCGTACGACTCATACAGCAATCGCTATCACTTGATTTAAAATATTTTTGTCCTTCCTTGCCTTTAAAGGAGTGACCTTTGCCATGCTGATGTTGCCACATGCCTTACTTCTTGCCTATCTCACACTGCAAATTTTTTCTAAGCTCTATACTAAACATTAAATCTGTTATGAAAAAAGAACTAAACAAAATGAACACAAAACGATCAGCTTTAAAAAAGGACACGTAACTGGAAAAACCGAATGAAAAAAGAATGCTAACAACAAATACTTTTTCACACCCAACCCAGTTCTGCGGAATCAGAATCAACGTTGAGTTTAAGCAAGCGAATGAGCCAATTGGAGTAAAGTGCCATGCAGATTTAAATTTTTCCCACTTGTGACGAATGCAGCTATCGATTTTTTTTTTTTTTTTGCATGCTAGCATGCTAGTTATTATTGTTTCAGTCAGCTGTTGGCTCTTACGCTGGCCAATAGAATCTTCCTGTCTATTCATGGCAGCTGGCTATAGGCTCTCACTCTGGCCAGCAGAAAATGGCCGCAAACTACATGAAAACTGCCGTAGAAGCATGAAAAAATCGACTATTTCCACTATCGATGGGAGTTGGGAAATGCAAAGTCGGTCTTGGGCTTCCCGCTTACTTGGAGCATGTGCATGTAAATTTTGGTGCAAATTCGTCGAAAATTGCGGCCGTGCATTCGTTACACACACACATCCTGCCTTTTATAGATAGAGATTAAGGCTGGAGAGCAACTACATATAGAGCAGCCTTAGCTGTAGTCGGTGTGTCTAAGGTAAGATAACCTGACGGCGCCTATCTCTCCCCAGGAAGTATTTAACGGAATGCTCATTCGAGCGGGACGAAATACTGCAGGGCTAGATTTAAATTTAGATGTTCACTCGTACGTATAACTGAGGAGGAAATGCTCAAGCCCAATCAGCATTCCCCTTTGTGGACGCCTCAGATACCACGGGTCAACCCCAGTGCCCTCTTCAAGGAAAGATATTTCATGGGTGGAGAACACTTTGGGATACTCGAGCACCTTATAATTAATTTAAGGCCGATAGAATTCTGGTGTATATACGACGTTGATTTTGAATTCAGAGTAGTTCTTTCTCTCGACTAATTGGCCTAACAAGGCTAAGATGAGCTGTGCGCCTTGCTATTTAACTCATAGCTAAAGGGTGGTATATTTTAGGCCTTTTTCAAGAACATTAGTGTCAATAAATTGACACACGCTGATGCCACCTTTACCTGCTAGTAACCTCTACCCTATCAGACACAACCAACGGCCGGAATCCCTTAAAAAAATAAACCAAAAAAATATCAAAATGAATCCCAATTATCATAACACCATAAGTGTATGAGCCAGGATATATTGAATTGTTTTTTTTTTTACAGTTTATCAACCCTTTCTAGGTTACTTAAAGCCGAAATTTATTTTGTATTGTAGGAATAATTTCTGTGTTTTGGGGGGATTTTTTTCGTTTGTTCAATTTTTAAAATTAAAAATTAAATTAATAATATTTTAAGAAAGACAATGATTTTTTTAAAAAAATTAAACATTAAATTAAAAGCATTTTTGAAAATAATGATTTTTTTCCATAT